ACCCAATGCTGGGTCCAATATGGACTGAGCCAACGTTGGGTTATTTTAGCCCAACGAGTTGGATTATATGATTTGATCCAACATGTTGGGTTATATTTTCCACTCACCACTGGGTAATTTTACCCAAACTATTGGGTTGAAATTTAAGGTGGAATGCCTCTTTTACTGGCAGATACGATCTGCAGATACCATCTCATTTTACTCATCTTCAAAATAAATAAATATTTAGAAGATGGTTAAAACAAATATTTGCTAGTATAAGACATCTTTTCCATTTTAAATATTTCAACCGAATTATGTTTTAAGAATTAGACAAATGTGAACTTACTAATAGTGATTAAAACATTCATATAAAAGATCATAACACAATTGCACTACTTTAATTTTAAACTTTTATTTCTGTAAAATTAGGTGTAAAAGTGATCAGTACATTTTATTATCAACACTGCAAGTCTGCTGCTTACAGCAGATGTACTGCATGTTGGTATAAATTTAAAGTAACCTACACTGAGTGACACTTTCCCCAAACCAAACCAGTCCCTTGTATCATTCTTCTGTCAGGTGATGGGGGCGTCTCAGTCCGGAGCTCAGGGCTGTGGACACTTCTGTCTGTTGAAGATCCACTGTGGGAAAAATACAGACATACTTACATTAAAAGCATATTACAGCAAAGATTGTTCACATTGTCTACACCAGTCGCTCTAGAGTATAAAGCTGATAAATATACTGGCTGTACTTACTTGTACCAGTTCTTGCTGTAGCCCGGTGAAGTGACAGAAACTTCAGTGTTGACAGGAGCTCAGGGCTGTGCACTCCTCAGTCTGCTGGACTGTACAGTCCACTGTGGGAACAAATAAGACCTGGTCACATTTAGACACATTCAGTTATTTATCAGGTGAATATTTTCCTGGCAAAAAGACAATTAGACACATTTGCATGAAAATAAAATAAATTTGAATGTACCAGGTGAGCCCTTTTCTAAAACAGACAAGATTTCCACTGTAACTGAATAGTGAAATTAAAAGCTCTTTATACACGGAGCTAAATGACAGAATCTTAATGTGTTGGGTTGGTTCATCTCAAAGACAGAGGTCATATTATGAAGATCCCACTGTGGGAAAAGAGAACAATGTCAACATTTTAACATTATTATTATACTTGGAAATAAATATAATTGTATCTCCCTGTATCAGGAGAATCCACAGAGACAACACCTGATGTTGGGGAAACTGAGAGGAGACGTCTGTAGGGACTGTAGTCTGTAATCACCTGTAGATACAGAGATGATCAGTGTCAGTGTCCATCACAATCTACTATTTAATATGTTCAATTCAGCTTCATCTTAAGTGATTTATTGTTAAGGAAGAATAAAACTTCTTAAGGCATAATGAAATCATATTGATAAGAAAGTGTATTTGGCTCAAAATCATTTCTGTGTATGTGTATTTGTATCCACATACACAGACGTGTGTTCAATCAGGCAGCTTTACTGAAGCTCCTCCTCTCTACGGTCGCTTCAGCAAAGCGGAGCGGGGGACCGTCAGACCCCGACAACCACTGCCGTGTTCTCCGGGCCGAGCGGCGCTCACTGCTGCGGGGGAACGGGGGGCAGATACGAAAGTACTGCAGACTTAAGAACTGAATCTCTAGAAAAAATCCCGTCTACGCTTTGTCCTTGTCACTTTATTTGGCCGTGAACCTTAAGCGCATCATGTATAAACCTCCAGCCGGGCTAAAGCTAACATTCAATATTACAATTTACCAATAACTTTAGCCCATCATTTCTCAGTCAATTTGGGCTTTTACGTTAAGCTATTTTAAGAAAACTGCCATCTTCAGCATCAACACCACTGTTTTATTCATTTGGCTCTAAGTTAACTTCAGTTCTTCTGGAATCAGTAGCTGAGCCATGTGAGCCAATATAAAACCTTAGAGCTGTGAGCTGCATTAAAGCTCCATATGACACTATTTTCTGATCTCTGTTCTAATGTCGTTTCCTCATCACAAACACACCTGGACTTGTCTTTTGTTTCATTCACATGTTTAACACACAAACCTGCACATTTACACATCTGAGCTCTTCTCTCAAACCCAAAACACTCTGTGATGTCATCATGTGGTGATACAGGAAGTGCTCCACTGTGTTTTTAAACACCACACACCTTCACTAGAATCATCTGGATCATTTCAGTCCTGGAATTTGCAATTTCTACTAAACAAAAGGTAAAAGGAACTTTGAACATGAAAAGTATCACTTCATGACATCACAAGGTGGAACAGAGCATGTTGAGCTGTGGAGATGTAGACAGAGTAAAGGCTCATTTCTGCTTCTCTTTCGTACATAAACAGATCCGTTTGTTCCAAGTGTAGAAACTGTCACTGTATTTATGGTCCAGGAGCCAGAGCCTCCAGCGCGATTCTTCTGCTCCTTTTTCTGACTCTGATGTTTCATGAGTCACACCTCGGGACTTTACCAGTTCAGGGTCTTTTGTTTCAGCTCCGTTCGGTCTCAGGACCCAAACCCCTTTTGTGGGACCCACCTTGTGTGAAATGATGTGAGTGTGTTTAAAGTGCTGCTATAGTCACATACAGTGTCACAGAGTCGTGACATTTGGAACAAAGAATCCAACATGATGAGGAACACAACAATAGAACATTACAGGGGTTTATGCATTTCTCTTTACAATTATTACAACATTTATACAGAAAAATATCAAAATATGACATTCTCAAGGACAAATCCTCTCCACAAACTGACTGTGACACATGGACATGGAATTACAGTTTCAGATGTAAATAGAAAACTTCCTCAATTCATCCATTTCAGATGAAGCCCAAGATGAGCTGTGTGACGAGGAGAGAGAAGTGTTTGTTTGTTTTGCAGCTGGTTCTAGTCTCTTTTGAAAAAGTTGAGCTTCCACTGTGGAGCTGTGTTCACTACTGCCCCCAGTGGTCACCTCATGTACTGCTCCAGTGCTCAGACTCCACATGTTCTGAGGACAGAAGCCTCCATGTGTGTCCATATGTGTAGAGCCTAAAAGAGCCTTAGTAATAAACACAACACAACAAAACACAAGTCCAGGTGTGTTTGTGATGAGGGAAGCACATTATAACATGGCTTAAAGCTCACAGAGTCTGTTTAGTGTCACATGGAGCTTTAAAGAGCGAAGTGTTGGTCATTAGAGTCTGAGCAGAGTCGATAAAATGAAAGGGAGTTCCAAAGAAAATATAAAGCAGCGGTGAACATGAAGAATGGAAAAGGCTTCATGAGGAGCTGACAAACATGTGCTCTCATTTTAATGATCACTTTGGTTTGTTGAAACATTCAACGTGTTTCACATCTCCATGTTTTATTTAGAGAAGTGGAGAAAAACACCAAACACACAGATTTAAATGGACTGAAACACACTCCATGTTTCACACTCTTGTGTTTCAGACTCTTGTGTTTCAGACTCTTGTGTTTCAGACTCTTGTGTTTCAGACTCTTGTGTTTCAGACTCTTGTGTTTCAGACTCTTGTGTTTCAGACTCTTGTGTTTCAGACTCTTGTGTTTCAGACTCTTGTGTTTCAGACTCTTGTGTTTCAGACTCTTGTGTTTCAGACTCTTGTGTTTCAGACTCTTGTGTTTCAGACTCTTGTCTTGTGTTTCAGACTGGATCCTGCTGGAGCTGAGTGGTTGACTCCAGGACTCAGAAAGTGTAAGTGTTGAATGAAGTCCATGTGAAACAGACACAGACTTATTTCAAATGGGTGTGAGACACAATGCATGATGGGAAAGTGAGTCCTCCCATAGAATGTGTGTAGTTGTGTGAGAGCTCAGACTGTGTGCTCCACAGCTGTGTGCTGCTGCTGGAGCAAAGGAGGAGCCCTGGAGCCACTGACACAGACACAGCTGTTGGACTCAGCACAGGACATTTTAAAGAGGGACATTCTGCAAAATCAATCTTTTTTCATCTTTCTCCCACATTAGAACCATGTTCCTCATCACAAACCTGCCTGAAGAGGTTTGACACTCATCCATGTTTGACTCATCTAGAGATCTCTCTGGAGGAGTGTAGGAATGTGTGGAGTGACGTCAGAGACTGGAGCTGCACTTTGTCACTGCAGCAACAAACTCCAGAGACGTCCAGATTTACACTGAGAATAATCTGAAATAGACTGGTGTGGGGCTGTGAAAGGAAATGTTTTTACACTCACACAAATATGAGACAAACACAAGAGTGGAAGGATTAAGAAAGAAAAGAAGAAGAAATACAGTGAAAAAAGACATGAATCCTAAATGAGTGAAGCCTTTAAATCCATCTTTCATGAACAAATGTGGCCATATTGTTGTAGAATTAAATGTGTGTGTCACATGTTGAGAGTGGACAGGGGACTAACTGCTGCTGTGTTGTGTTTTCTCTCCATCAGATTTCTGTGATCTCACTCTGGATCCAAACACAGCGAACACAGAAAACTCAAACTGTCTGACAACAACACGAAGGTGACACGTGTGAGAGGAGCAGCCGTATCCAGATCATCAGGACAGATTTGACCACTGGAAACAGATTCTGTGTTCCACTGGTCTGACTGGTCTCTGTTACTGGGAGGTCCAGTGGAGTGGATGGGTGGATATATCAGTGTCTTACAGAAGAATCAGAAGGAAAGGAGACGATGTTGACAGTTGGTTTGGAGGCAATGATCAGTCCTGGAGTCTGTGGTGTTCTGAAGATGGTTTCTATGTTCGTCATAATAACAAACAAACCCTCCTCCCTCATCCCTGTTCCTCTGGTGGGAGAGTATCAGTGTTTGTGGACTGTCCTGCTGGATCTGTGTCCTTCTACACAGTTTCCTCTGACCAACTGACCCACCTCCACACCTTCAACACCACATTCACTCACACTCTGATCCCTGGGTTTAGGCTCTGGACTAAAGACGCCTCAGTGTCTCTGTGACTCCGACAGACTCACTCTCCTCACTGTAAAATACTACAACATTTACATTTATTTTTACATCATTGAACAAAAAAAGTGATTTGTGGAATAAACCAGAACTAAACCAGGACTAAACCAGGACTAAACCAGAACTAAACCAGGACTAAACCAGGACTAAACCAGGACTAAACCAGGACTAAACCAGGTCTGACCTTGGGCTCAGTTTTCAGGGTTGAGGAGGTGAACAGAGCCGAGAGAGACTCAGACCCGGACCTGGACCCAGACCTGGACCCGGACTTTGCGAGGCTCCCGGAGACCAGACCGACCTCATAGTCCACAGGATCCGGACTGAACAGAACCAGAACCAGTTTAAAGTTTAAAGTTCCTGAATTGTCAGACTGAAATGTGTCAAAAGTTCAGAATAAAAACATTTCAGTGTCAAACCTCGGCTTCAGTTTCCGCTTCATGTTTGTCCGCTTCACTTTTTGATGACGTCACTTTTGTTCTTATTATTTTATTTGATATTTTTTTATCGGTTAAAGCGGCGCGCGCACGTTTGTTTACAACACGTTTTTCACCGGTGCAGCGGCCAAATGTGTCCGACCGGAAACAGCAGAAAAACCGAGCACAGGTTCCTCAAGACGTGCTTCTTCTTCTTCTTCTAATGTGGAGTTTTACTGGCGGTCGGTAAACACAAACTGGAGCATCACCGCCACCAACCGACCAGGAGCGGAACTGAACTGAAACTGAAACGCGACTTAATAAAAACTAAAAAATAAATATAAATGAAAAATAATGAATAAAATAAATAAAATTTTAGTTTATAATAAATAAAAAAATAATATTATTCATAATATGATATATAAAATAAGGAATATTAATAGAATAAAATATAAAATAATAATAATAATAAGTAACATTAAAAAATAAATAAATATAATAAAATAAAAATTAGAGAACCAGAAGTGTCCTGCTGTAGGTTTGTGGAACTTCTGGTTAATGTTTTTCTGTGTCAAAATGTGTAAATGTGTTAAATGTGTGTGTAAATGTGTGTGTGTGAATGTGTGTGTAAGTGTGTGTGTGTGTAAATGTGTGTGTAAATGTGTGTGTGTGTGTGTAAATGTGTGTGTAAATGTGTGTGTAAATGTGTGTGTAAGTGTGTGTGTAAGTGTGTGTGTGTGTAAGTAGACATAAAACCTAGACACACACATTTTACACACACACACACACATTTACACACACACACACTTTTACACACACATTTACACACACACTGACACACTTTTACACACACACACATTTACACACTTTTACACACATTTACACACACACTTACACACTTTTACACACTCCTCACAGTTTATCGTCTCTTTCGTGCAGATATTTTTTTAATCTGTAACATTTTTCACTGTTGTTGGTTTGAGTCGTGGTTCAGACATTTTCATGAGAAACAAACGGCAGCAGTGAAACAAAGTGA